CCCCAAAACCCCAAAACCCCAAAACCCCATCAATCAATTGTGAAGAAAAAATTATTGTATTTTATATCATGTTTTAGTGAATTGATATCTATTCAGAGCTTTGGAAACTCTGCCTTTGACTTTGAGAAATTAGCCATTACTGCTCTCTAAGTGTCTTTGGTCTATAGCATTGACATATTAAGAAGTAACACATGTTAAAGACCCATTTCAACTGGATTATCTCTGCTATATACTATGTTTTGCTTGATTGTAGCTACTGCAACGGGAGATTTACTAGCGATTTAAGAAGCTAAATCATAAGCTTTCTTGAAACAAGCCTCTTGATTTTCTTCCACATAACTTACAAATCCCTGTTAAAGTGCTTCTTTGGCATCGAAATATCTACCGGTGTATGCTAATTCTCTGAAGAAGCTATCATTTCCAATAATCTTTTAGAATCTTTAGATGGTACCTAAGTCTGCACATATTCCAATATCAACTTCCTTAATAGTGAATTTAGCATCCTTAGAGCAAATTCTTATATCGCAAGCGGATGATATGTCAATACCTGCACCGATGACGAAGCCACTCATTGCACATATGACAGGCACTCTAGCTTTTTCAGCAGCACTAGCAGATTCTTAAAGAATTCTTACTGATTTCTGAGTACCTAGGGCTACTCTAGCACAATCAACATCATCTGTCTTCTCATCATCCTTCTTCATTATTATTGCAGCTGAAGATATATCAAGTCCTGCAGTGAAATGTTTGCCATTGTGAGTTAATATAATTACTCTGACCTCTTTTTCTTTTTAATCCAAAATCTTATTTACAATCTGATTTAGCTCAACAAACATTTCAAAGGTCATTGCGTTCATTTTTTCTACTCTGTTGAATCTTATAACTGCAATCTTATCATCACCGATAATGTAGTCAATTGTTGACTTTTACTATTTCTTGTCCATTAAGTGATCTAAAAGAAATTTTAACTTTTAATTATAAAAAGGATATAATATTTAAGCATTAATTAATGAGCGGAAAGAGATAGCCTGCGGCTCAACAGTTGAACCAGTAATCGCATTAAGGAGCTCATAACAGACCTAATTCTTTTTCAAAAACTTAGAATTTTACTCAAAGCTACAATATATATCAAAACTCAAACAATAATTAGAACATTAACAGTGAAATGATAGGTGTATTTGGAGGAGCTACTCCAGATAGAAAGTAAAATAACAATAACTTAACAGGTAATTAATCCCATGCCAATGATGGCTCTGCAAGTTCTTATATAAAAGGATCAAGAATCGGTATAGTTAACAACAAGCATGGTCAGCTTATATAATCTTAAACCTAGCAAGCATCACTATCAGCTAGGCCACACTATAATATATAACATAATAATGCATCGCAGCAAAATCATTAATTGATTGGATCTTAGTAGATAAATTCAATGGCAGGAGCAGGTTAACAACTTCCAGGAAAGATTAACATTCCAAGTATATCTCCAATCAGGTTAGGGAATCCTAAATAAACTATCTCAAGCAACACCAGGAATCATAATCTTTAATAGAATCAATCTTCTCAACAATAACCTCAGAGAAAGAACTTAAATTCCCAAAAGGTTATTCAGTCTAGTTCTAATAATAACAATAACGTCGCATAGCATAATAACAATCCTTAAGCTATAACAACTAAGATCGATTTAAGCAGGAGCATACAGGAAACCTTTAACTATATACAGTAGAATCAAATACCCACTTAGTAGAACCCATAAATTGTAATCAATTAGTAAATATAGCAACAAGATGATTCGAATCTGATTTACACAAAGGAAAAAATTAAGAAGCTCAAAGATGAGAACAAAAAGCTGCATCAACTGTTAACTGATACTGAGGAGAGATTCAAAAGTAAACTAGATCAAACGAGAAGAGAATCAGAGGGTATAATGAAAATTTTCAATTAGATACTGCCTATTCTAAGATAAGTAATGTCCTCCTAGTAATAGCAATAAACCTTCAACAGTCAATAAATTGATCTCTAAGAGGCTTAAAATATCTTAAAATTTCTTGAATCTAATTCCAACAACTTAGATTAGAGATAACAGCTGCCAGGTAATGTGAGTAATTAAATTGATAACGAAAACTAAGTACAGATGAAAATAATGCAAGATAGGATAAATAATCTAGAATTAGAAGTAAGCGAGCTAAAGGATACTAATCACAAGTATCTCAAATACATTTAGCAATAAATGGTTCTCTCCAGGATTTAAGAACAGGAACTTATCAAGCTCAGAAAAGAGAACGAAGAGCTTCAAGCTTATAAAAAGAGCATTGATCTGTATTTTTCTAGTAATTTGTAAAATAGTGACAAGCAGGATAGTACCACTACCTTCAACGACTAAGTATCTACTCAGCATAACTATACTAATATGAATTCCGACCCAACTCCTGCATTCTTAAAAGCTACTCTCATAAATGGTATAGACTAAGCTGAAATAGATGATTTAGGTACTGGTTAGAGTAGCAATCTAGATTCGAACAAGATTGAACTTCCAGATTTCTTTAAATAGTAGAGTACAGTAAGTATGACTGGGCAAGGTCTTTCTTTAATTACTGATTATTCACCCATCAAGACTTCTAATTTATAGCTTGCCAATATTGGTGATAACAAACTAATCGAAGAGAACATCAAGTAATTGATGCCAAATGCAATGAAAAAGAGTCGATCATCTAGTTCACCATTTACAATGAGCAACAACTTCATTAAATATAATATAAACAACAACGACTATAAATGATTCATTTAATTAGTTTATATGCTATTTAAAAGATCTTCGAAGTCTGCATAGCGGGGTTTTGGGGTTTTGGGGTTTTGGGG